ATCAATGGAAACCAAAGTAACTTAAGGCTTTCAGTACAGGAGTGGTAGGTATAGGGGTCCAAGAATGAAATCTGCTGCTGCCACCCCAAACAGAGCAAGCAGAAGAGACTGTAATGCTAAAATAGTTTGAACTTAGCCACACATTTCACAGACAAAGAACCCACTGCTGCAACTTCAAAGTCATGTTCTGAAGGCCATCGGGCTCACTGCCCTTACGTAGGGGCTTTCATACTAGAACACATAGCATCTTTGCCCACAACACAACAGCCAGACTTTTCAGAACAAAATAGTTCAAATGGCATTAGTTAATATAAGGGGTGTCTGGCCTTTTTTTGTAGGTACTGTGAGCACAGGAACAACTGATGCTGTTAAACATCTGTCTCATGCACCTGACTTAAATGAAGAACAACTATGGGAGAGGACATTCAAAGGATCTCTTCAATACCAACTAAAAACTAATTCAGCAAGTTGACAGTAATAATGATTAAGATGTTGAACACAGCTGCAGAGAACAATACAACCTTCATGACAGTCATCATATAGCCAAATGATAAATACGGAGTCTAATAACTACAAATACAAGAACTTAAACATTGCTCTACCCAAGATAGAGAGCATGACAGCCATCACACTTGAGTAGCACAATTAGCTGAATCAACTCCACAATGACTGAAACCTGTACTCAGTATTAATAACTAGACAAGGGAAAACAATCTTCCCAATGCTACGTACTGGCATGAGAACCGCAGTGGCCCATGCTCTGAAGTTACGGGATGGCAAAACCCACCTCCCACGCGATTGCAGCTCTAAGTATTCCCATATATACTAGCCACAAGGACACATTCAACACTTACTGGCTTTCAGGAAATGCTAATGTCCTCTTGCCTCCACCCCCACCAAGGCTAATGGAGCCTTTTTGATAGCAATGGGTGGCAGAATAACTTTGGGGAGACTCGCTAGAGACCTGAAGTAGGATGCTAAAAATCCCAAATCCTTAAACTGACAGTTAGCTTGCTTTTACCACTATTGTCTCTTCTTTGCCAAACAGAATATACTTCAAAATAATTGGAAAAATGAGGTTAATATTTTGCATAAGCACTTCAGTTATTACCTGGCTCACATTAGCAGTCAACTAGGCTAACATAACAAACAATTCTTGTTACTCAAACTGGCGTCATTGTAATGATCTCCAAATTAATCTCATCCGCGCACAATCACTAATCTTGTTTTGTGCCAACTGAATTTTTAATCAGAATGGCGTGAATCATAGGTTGTTTTTAAAATACATTTCTAATACTTGTCATCCAAAATGAATAAACACTACAGCAGGGAACAACTTTTCTATTTACACTCTGAGAAGTTGATTTTATTTATGCATATGATACATATGAGTATCAAAGGCATACGCTAGGTGAGACATTTTTAATGAAAATAAAAAATAAATGTGTTTATTTCTGATAATGCTTTAGGCATGAATAGCATCACCAACCTATGGCATTTAGCCCTCTGTATTTAAAACTGTATGACAAACCAAAATAAAAGGAACAGTTGCCCCTCTGTGGAATGGCTCCTCAATTCTTACATCACTGCAGAAGGACAGAATGCACACCGTCAGACCCTGCAACCAGCAGAGTAACTACTTCTGGTAAGGCATGTAATGAAGCATATACTTTGCAATGCTGAACTTGAGACTTAACCTGAGTTTCAAATCAAAGTGACTTTAATATTTGTGCAAGACATAGAAGCAAAGCTGAGTTTCAACGAGCATTTCTGACTTGATTCTGCAACTGTGATTTCAATTCAACAAAGCAGTTGATTAGCTCTGCTTGTAACAACAAGAGTGCCCAACATATCACCCCACTGGTGAAACACAGGCCCAACCATTTAGGAATTCTTTGTAAAAAAAAAAAAAATAGTATGAAGTCTTCACCTACAGCATCTACTTTTAGGAATGGTGTATTTCTGGAATCTTGGTTTAGCTGTCTGGCTAACAGCTGCTTAACTCAACACCTGCCACCGGGCTCAGGTGAAAACCTAACTCGAAGGTCTGCCCACGGCCATGGAAACTGAAGGAGCGACCGAAGCGACCTGCAGCACAGCCATTCAAATGTCTCCAGGGAGGTCTACTGACAGCCTCTATGACAGCCACACGAGCTTGAGGAATCTGGAGTACCTGGTTCTCACTTCAAGCTAAGCATAATGCCTGACTCAAGCCACGTAACAGCATGTGAGGACATCTGCTTGGAAAACAAGACACTCGGGCAGATGAGAGCAGCACAGGAAGGCTCAGTGTCAGAATTCCCACAGATCTGGCAGCACGTATTACTTAAAGACTGCACTTCTCATTTAATACCACCTACATGCTTTTGTGAATGGTAGATTCTGTTCTGATCACCAAAAACTGTTGCACCAAAAGTATCCGAAGATTGCTCAAAGTTAAGAGCATTAAATTATGCTCAATGTGCTAATCTATTTTTACTTAAAAGTCAGTAGAAAGATATGCTAACACATCAAAAAATTCTGCTAATATCTTAGAATTCAATTAAAACTATCTTCATGAAACAGCTCTAAGATCTGTGGAAAGAAGTGAGTTATTAAAATATTTAGCATAATAAGCAAGTTATTGTTAATATAACATTCTGAAGAAAAACTCTGCAAACCACGTTGAACATTAAGAGGCGAATGCAAAAGCAAACATATACCATATGGATCATAGCTGCAAGGTAGAATAACACACTCTGATAACAGCAGGACGGACTGCAGGAGAAGGGCCAAGGACCTTCTCAAAAAAGGTTACATTTACATAGTGAATACTACAGCAAGGCATAATGACCAAAGAAAAACTGTTGGCTTGGAAATTTCTTTTTTGATTTGTTTTTAATTAATTTTAAAATAGGCTGGTTAATATCTCATTATGCATCAAGGAGCAAATGGCTCTTCAAGCTGCTTTCCAACAGAGGATGGAAAGTTTATTCTGTGCTTAGGCAGAAGAACAGCAATACTCCCAAAAGAAGTATCATTAACAAGCAATGTACGAAAGAAAAAGAAATCTATGCACGTTTCTATCCTTGCAGGTTTCCCTGTGGATCACTAGTGCTAGTGACCTCTTTTCACATGAGAAATGCGGCACCATACCACACTCCATCTTAACAGCATTTCTGCAAGATGCCCCACATTATCTTTATTTAACATCTCATTTGCTGTATGTTACTAATTTAGGCTTTTCAGTACATGGAAAAGAGCTCCTCTTCCTTGAACATCGACTGCAGAATGTGGTTGCTAGTGCCAATACTTCTCAGGAGGTTGTAAGATTGTGAAACAACAAAACAGAAAAAGGGGGAAACAGGAGAACTGGTAAATAAAAAGAGTATGAAAACAGTTCTAGAATTGTCATATAACGTAAAACCCTTTCCGTAAATGAGCTTAACAAAATAGCTCTTCAGCAGCACCATGCCTCCTTCCCAAAGGATTTTTGTGAGCTTAACAGGAAGGTGATCAGGGGAAGCAAAGAAATAAGACATTCAGCTTTTAAAAATTCTGTTAGGTATTCTAAAAATAATTATTAAACCCAATTCTTTTAATACTGTGTAGTTTTTCAATAGAACTTAATCCGAAGTGAATGAAGGTAAAACCAAAAAACAACACAGCTGTCACGTCACACGTGAAGGACATGTCCAATTCTGTGGCCACTGCCTCACATTCCTCCCCCATGACACACGTACCACAAAACTCAACAGTAGAGCATGACGGCCTCTGGCTTACTTTGAGGAGTTCCCATACCTGATGAAATCACCCAGCTGCACTGGAGACATGCTGATAAAGCACAAGAGAGGCTGCAGGAGAGGACTACGCAAAGAACCTCTGCCCTAGCAAAGCTTTACGCCAGGGGAAGATCAATTAAAAGACATTTCCCAGGTGCCTGTTTGTGCCACCGATTCCCATATACCCTTACAGGTAACCTATAAAATAAAATATATTTAAATTGGCAATTACTTTTTGGGACAACTTTCTAATAAAAGCTGAAAATTTTGAGAAAAACAGAAATGAGATCATGACCTACTGTGTGGGTGACCAAGCAGGAATTACATTAGAGCTCTCCAGCAAAGGCATACTTTTCTGACACAGCCACTAACTCTGCACCATAACCACAGGCACTGGACACTTATTGGAAAAAATATGCCCAAACTCTATTGACAAATGATACTGTCGACTCACAAACGAGGCTGCAGGTCTGCAAAGGCAGGAGAATGGAGCCCAAAGAGAGGGGGAGAGTAAAAGAGAAAAAACACTCTGGGTTTCCAAACAGCTTCACATGGCTTTAGAAAGGACTAGTAACTTCTGAGAGGGAGAAGTATTTTAAAAGCATAACCATCGTTACCTTCTTCAAACAAGGCTTTATTACTTGAGGCTAATTTTGTATAGTGAACAACACACTTGATTTCAGGATGTGTTAGAAGATACTTTTACACAACCTTATTACTAATTTTTGACCCTCCCACCTGTTAAAAGGGCATTTCCTTGTCTTTACACTAACACTACGACATACGAGCAGATACCTTTCTTTGACACAGTGGTTTCAACCACGTACAACCTGGTTTTATCCTTCCTCACGGGAAAACAAAAAATGACATCACTACACAACATTATGCTACTTCTTCTGGAACTAAATGTTTTTAAAGACACAACTGAGCAACACTGATACAGATCTTTTAAGATGGTCAGATATTAAAAAGACAACTTTTTAAAGGTACTCTGGATAATTCTTGAAAATGTCATCTTGTCTCGATTAAAATATTTTTTTAAAATGCCTACATTTATGGATTCAACTTTAAATCACATTAGAGGATGAAGTGATAAACAGTCACATAACACTGAGACAAAAGGGTTTTGCTTTTTTTAAAAATTTATTCTGCATTGTTAGCAAATTCCTATTGCTGTAGCCATTCTGAAAAAGCCAAGTCTCTGCATGGTATAAGGTTCTCAAACAGTGAAGTACTTACATGCAAGGCAGAAGGATCCGGCAAAAATTCAGCATCCTCTCCAAAGATAAAATCTGGTGGCAGGTCAGGATAGTGAGCATTGAAAATTATATCCCCTGAAAAGTAATAAGTAAAAATACTGTTTACACTTTTATGTATGTGCTTATACATAAATAAAATACTGTACATACGATACACATTTAATGTAAAATTTGACAGCTACGTTAAATATATTTCATGTATACATCCATATAATTTTTAGAAAAATTCACATGCAAGATAAGCATCAGATGTTTTGGGGGATGAAGTCAAATTCCTGAGGCACAGCTTCTTCCTCCTCTGCAAGCAATGAAACATGAAACACATTATTGCTTCGTATCTCAAATGGCAATTCAAACACTATTGAGGGTTGCCTCAAAACACTGAGTTAGAAAAGTGATCTTGTTTTAAAAAAGTACCAGTTCAGATTGCTAGGTTTTGCATATTAAGGCAAAGTCAAATGCAAACTACCAAGATCAGGATTTTCAAAATACTGGAGCTTTTGAAACTGGTGGCACTTACTCCCTCTTCTCCTCGCCACCTGCAACTCTTAAGGAAGAATACACAGTTCAATAGGAACCATTCCAATTACCCAAATTCTGGCCAAGAGAAATGCAGTATTACACATTTAAATGGAGAGACTAACATTAACTAAAAATATAAAATTGCATCACATCTTGGCACTGAGTTCTCATCTCGCCAGTGTCACAAGATATACAATTAATTACTGATGCGACAGTTCAAAGAAATGCAGGTTGTATTATTTCACTAGTAAATATACTTCAGAGTTCATATAGGTCCAGAGGTGGTCATCTGCGTGTAAGCTCTTAAAAAACCACCCACAATTCAAGAAAAAAAATAAAGAAATGTA